AGACCTGGGATATGACACAAACATCTTAACCTTGAGCAAAAGAAAGAACATCATGGCCATAATAGAAAGGTGCTGGGTGAAAACCACTTACAGCAGAGGGCCTGAGCGAGAGGACTAGAGGTAAGGAATTTGCCTAGGATGCAACTGATCCTGGTTTGAATCCTGGATGGACCCACAAGCACCACCATGGGTTGCTTCTGAGGAACAAACCAAGAACAGCCCCGAACACTGCTGAGAGTGGCACCCAAACCAAAATAAATATGCAAGGAAAAATACAAATTATATTAGGATAGAAGAAATATTCATGGATAACAATAGGCTATTTACCCTGCCCTTTCACTTTCTGTAAGAATTAGTATTATAATATGAAAGTTATTTCCAGGGAAGAAAATAATGTAGATAGGAAAAAAACCAACCTCTTCCCAAAGATAAAGAAACCCGAAGAAAACTTCAAACAATTAGAGTAATACCAGACTACTTTAATACTAGAATATCTCATATTTTAACACCAATAATTATAAAAGTTTTATAATTTTTATAACATGATCTTCGGAGAGCCCGGCAAGCTACCGAGAGTATTCGATATGCCAGACACAATAACAACAAAGTCTCCAATGGAGACGTTACTGGGCCCGCTTGAGCAAATCGACGATCAACGGGAGGGCCTTTACCTTTTACCTTTATAACATGATCTAATTATCACACCCAGGAGAAGTAAAGATAATTAAGAACTTTCTTGGGACATCTAGAAAAACTATCAAATATTAAGGGTTTTAACTCTGCTTGAAAATTCACATGATAAACAGCCAGGAGGCATGCCCATGTCTCTGTGGTATGTGGAGAAGAGACATACACTTTTATTCCAAAGGGGCAGAGCACTTAGTGACTCACACATATTTTAAACTAGGGAAGATGAGTTATGAAAGCTGCTAACAAGTGAGAAACACACTGTAAATTGTATGCAAGCTCAGGCAGAAGAGCAGGACCATTCAAAAAAATCATGAGCACAGACCTAAAATGAGAATAGGAGAACAGATTAAACAGTACTTCAAAGAGAGGCATTTTCTCTAAAATAAAATATCTGAAAGACATAATAAAACTCAGTGTGTGTGTGTGTGTGTGTGTGTGTGTGTGTGTGTGTGTATGATAGAAAATTGCACTAAGGAGTCTGAGAGATAGTGCAGCAGATACAAATCATTTGCATTGCATGCCACAGACCTGGGTTCGATCTGCAGCACCCCAAATAGTTCCACTAGGAGTGATCCTGAGCACAGAGCCAGGAGTAAGCCCTGAGCAATGCTGGGTGTTTCCCCCTTCCCTAAGACAAAGAAAACAAAAACTAGCAACAATAAAATACAAAGAGAGAGAAACCAGAATCATAGTAAAAGGAGAAAGTCACACAGTGTGGCAGGAAAATCAGCCAAATTTCATACTCAGATGAAATGTCTGCCTATTTCAATTCTTTTTCTTTTGGGGGGGGGGTCACACCTGGCACTGCTCAGGGCTGACTCCTGGCTCTGCACTCAGGAATCACTCCTGGTAGTGCTCAGGGGAACATATGGGATGCTGGGAATCGACCCCGGGTCAGCATGCAAGGCAAACGCTCTACTCACTGTGCTATCGCTCCAGCCCCGTGTTTCAATTCTTAACACACAATTTTACATTTCTACATTATTTATACCGCCCATTATTTATACTGTCTTACATAATTTCTTCCCTGCCCGCCTCCCCCCAGTCTAACCTAATTACAAGGCAAGGAAATGAGAGGTCTAGCAGCCACTTCAGCTCTTAATCTCCTAATACTGACTAGTGTGTTCCAACTACAGCCGCCCTGTGAGGGTGTTTTCTCTCCCTGGCCCTGTGAGGATGCTGTACAGTCCTGTTGAGAAATATGTAACACTGAGAGCTTGGGAACGTTTCGGCTCCTTGAAGTCTGGAGAGTCTCATGCTAGAAGAGTAGCTAAGATTAGCAACTAAACTTCAGAAACTGAGAGAAGCATCCTAGAACATCAAGTTAATGCCCAACAGCCTCTCACACATATACCCGACAGTGACTGCCTATGAAGTGTATGTGATCACTGGGAGCGAGTCCTCTTCAGCAGAGGGAGGAAACAGCATTCTAGCAGAGACCAGGGCAGCCTTTGGCTCCTGCAGGCCTAATTGGCGTCACTCAGCTGGGTCTGTTGTTGGGCTGGTGCACGGCAGGGGTCAGGGGCCAGCTGGACTGGGTCAGGGTCATGGGGAGCTGGGTGCTGGCCCGGGAGGTTAGAGGTAGGCCTGCTTCTGACAGGCTGCTGCTGGTTGAGGCCATCTGAGGCCAGGCAGGGAATGGGAGCAGGCTCTGATCTCCTGGCGGGGGGGGGGGGAGGTTGTGAAGGGGACTCTGACTCTCTCTCTCTCTCTCTTTGCCCCTCCCCACCCTTCAAGAGGCGTTCAGCAGGAATCCTGCTAGAATCAACTGTCTCAAAACTCAAGGAAACTGAGGACTCTCTGATGAGTGTGAGACTCGACTTCCAGGGTCTTTATTCCAGAGGCCGCTGTGCTGGCGCCCTGGTAAACTCAGAGGCAAGACAACAGCACCCCCCAAATCTGTGCTCACTTCTACTGCTTCCATTACAAGCAGACATGGATGTCACCCAGGTTTCAGCTGGAGAGTTCAGTGAAAATCATTCCTTGGTCCTGAACAGAAAAATACATAAAGCTTGAAAGGCTTCTTTAAAAGAAAACTAAGGGAAACATGCTCTGATTTCTCAGTTATATCCTGCTGAAATTTATACTCAGTATTTCAGTCTTCAAAAAAAAAGAAATTATGTATGTGTGTGTGGGGGGGGGGGGGGTATAGCTCCAAGGACACGAGCAATGCCCTGCGTGCATAGTTCCCTGAAGGCCGTGATGAAGGAGTGGGGGCAATGTTTCAATGCTAAATGATTTTTCATACAAAAAATCAGTCCCGCACATCACTTATGCGCTGACATTTTTCAGAAAATATAAAAGGTTTTTGAGGAAATGAAAAGAATAGATTCTTCCTTAGCACAGTATCTTCCTTATCTCCCTTCTCAGAGTAACAAGAGTGAATGTTCTAAATTTTCTATACTATGTGTGGATGTGCGTATTGTATAAATATACATACTCCCCTATAAAATACATATCACGATCACGACCATCCTGTTATTCGTCGATTGCCTTGAGCAGGCCCCAGTAATGTCTCCTTCGTCCTAGCCCTGAGATTTTTTAAAAAGTGCCATATTCAAGGCTCTTTCAGAGTTAGGAGAACGAGACCCATCATTGTTACTGGTATTTGGCATAGTGGGTACGCCATGGGGAGTTTGCCAGACTCTGCCATGTGGGCTGGTTACATTTGGTAGCCTGCCAGTTTGTCCAAAGTAGAAGTGAGATAATAAGATGTTGCACAGCCGCAAACGTGGCCGTGCGCTTCTGGGAGCTGGGTTTTATAGTCTCTGAGTCTTGGCCGTTAATGGGATTACACAGCGCCAGGGGCCCAGTTGGTGGGTGTGACCCCCGCCTACTGGAATTGGGAGGATCTGGGTGGAGGATGCTCAGCCCCAATCCGAGTAGGCTCGGAGATCTCAGCCCTGGGACCCGTGTGCCTTTGTTCCTCTGCCATATACATATACACACAGATTTATACATATGCATGTGTACGGATGAAAAATGGCGAGATAGGAGCAATAGAACCGTGGATAGGGTGCTTGTGTATGACTGACCTGGGTTTGATCCCCCACACTGCATATGGTCCCTCGAGCCCACCAGGAATAATCCCTGCATGCAGAGTCAGGAGCGATCCCTGAGCAGCACCAGGTGTTGCCCAAAATAACATCCCCCCCACAAAAAAAAAAGGAAAAATATAAGAGACAGTATTGAATCATGCTAATTTTCTTGTCAGTTTCAAAAGGTACTACTAGTTAGCACAGTGGCAGGGTGTTTGTCTTGTGCGCAGCTGGCCCGGCCAAGCCGGGTTTGATTCCTTCACCCCTCTTGGAGAGCCCGGCAAGCTACCAAGAGTATCTCACCTGCATAGCAAAGCCTGGCAAGCTACCCGTGACGTATTCAATATGCCAAACACAGTAACAACAAGTCTCACTATGGAGATGTTACTGGGCCCGCTCAAGCAAATCGATGAACAATGGGAAGACAGTGCTACAGTGCAGTGCTACTACTAGTTATTAAGATAATCTCAGAAGCTCAATAATAACTTATAGTGTGAACAATATTTAATGAAGGATCCACTCTAGGATTCTTGCCTGCCCATTTCTATCCATCCTCATCCCTTCCTTTCACCTTCATGCTTCACTGGAGACTTTATTTATTTGCTTTTGGGGCCGCAGCGAGCGATGCTCAGGGGTTACTACTGGCTCCGCACTCAGAAATCACTTCTGGCGGTCCTCAAAGACCATATGGGATGTCAGGGATTAAACCTAGGTTGGCTGCCTGCAAGGCAAATGTCCTACCCACTGTACTATCACTCTGGCCCCTTAGTGGAGTCTTCTAATGCCCTAGATCTGAGAACTAAAACTTCAGCCTTAAAAAGAGGCCTTTCAGACTCACAAGAAGGCTGGGTGCCTTCTTCCCTATTGTCCCCAAGGTCTTCAGATGCAGGCTCAGTCTTTTCCAGGCACACAATAAAGTATAAGGTGAAGTCATCGTATTTCTCCCTATAAGCCCATCATTCGCTCCTCCACCCCCAACCGCTTCCTGTAAAGCAAACTGAGAATCCTTCATGGATAAAACTGGAGGAGGGCCTTGCTCTGTGCTTCCAGAACACTCATCCTGTGCATCTGTCCCTGTGGAAGGTCTTAGCAGAAAACCCACACCAACAACAGGACGTGGGACAACACCACTTACTTTAACAGAAAATAAACTGAGTTTGTGATAAAAGAAATCAAAGGTCCAAGAAACAGCCATGCTCTTAGGAACCACGGAAGGCAATCCGAACCTCATTAATGCCACGTGACACATGGAGAAGAAGAAAAACCAGTTACCTTTTTGTGCAAGGCATGGAATTCGCTGTATCTTTTTTCAACAAAATGTTTTCTTCCATTCATTAGCACTTCTATCTTAAACACCTATGGAGGGGGAGGGGAAAAAATAAAGATTAATTCCACCAGTTCCAAACCTTCAATTGTCTGATGTGGTAAGTTTGTGACCATGATAAATTTCATCCCTCTAATTATAGTGGCTGGTTCCCCCCGCCCCCAACCCAGAAGGCTCAAGAGACTCTGGCCCCACAACACTGATTGATGAGCGAGCTCGCGTGGCCCAAAGGTTACCACACCGAAGTCTCCTCCACAAACACCTCCAAGTGTGAGGAACTTGGGGATTCCTGTGCCTCAGTGAGCAGCCTCCCTCTCTGCGCTAACCCACCCAGAATCACGAGGGAATCAGAGGTGGATGTTGTGGCCCCCATAGTCGGCGGCAACAAATCCCTGGCCAGGGCCTCGTGAGGCTGGATGGGCTGTGGCCCCTCTAAGACCATCATGCAGCCTCCCTGCATTCTCGGTTCACATCTTCCCTGCCTGAATATTCATCACCAGTCTCAGCTGGGCTTTGCTGCCATTTGCTGCTGGGAGGAGAAAATGCAGCAAAGGTTTGTCCTCCCCCAGGGACATGAGTGACAGCTCATGCCCAGCGCTCTGGAAGGCTGAAGGGTCGGCTGACTGTGCTCTCATTAGCAGACCCCGTGTGACACTTCCCTGATTCTCAGGTCAGTGGGTCAGAACTGGAAACAGGGGCTGGGGGTGGGGGTGGGGTGCACTGGGCATGGCCCTTGGACACATCTGTGAGGAGGTGATTCCCAAAGCTCGACACAGGGCCTGTGGCACCCCACATGGCAGGGAGACAGCCTGATGACTTGGGCCCTGCCTGTCCCTATGCCCTTCTGAGAAGTGAGCCCCAGGGTCCCCAGCACTCGAGTACTAAGAACTTGCTCTCCTGACACATAAGAGCCAGTGCCCATGGAGCCCGGGAGATACGGGGCACACGTTTGGGATGGGAGAGATCCCAACGGATCTACGTTTCACCTCATCTGTGCGTTAAGTTTTAGAGTAAGTCAGCCATGAGGCCATCTGGTATGAATTGTGGGGCAGGGACCAGGGAGATGGCTCAGAGGGCTTGGGGCAGATAGGCTTGATCTCTACCTGGCATAGGAATATCCCCAAGTACTGTAGGGTGGGATCATGGGGGGGGGGGGGGGAATGCAAAATAAAGCAAAAGTGTAGGGCAAGAGATAAAGCTCAGTACACTGCTCATGCCCCCATGAGTGAGGCCCTGGGTATGACCCCCTGTACCACAAAACAAAAACTCATAAAACATGTTTGTATTTCCATGCTTCTTCAAAAAAGAAACATTCTTCTGTGGTATGGCTCTGTTTAAGAAACTAGTCTTAATTAAATAAGCAGTAAATTTCTCTTTCACAAATTTAATATTTTAAACCAACATTTGGTTTTTCAAGAATTTTCCCTAACAAACATAGTTTCGGGAATAAGCAAAATAGTTTCGCCTAAAAACATATGCATATGCTTCCACCTCTCAAATTACAGTTTTTTGTTGTTGTTGTTGAAAAAAAAATTTTATGAATTCACTGAAGAAAATGATTCTTCTTCATAGGAACTGCCAGAAATAGAATGAGGAAAACACCCTGAGAAACACAAACAAAAGAAGCAGAGTTTGAACTTGGGGGCTTGGTTAATAGGATACAGAGCCCCTTTTGGGGGATCAGGCCCCAAATTTAAATCAGGACAATGTGGGCGCAATTCAAGGAATTTCCATCTGCTAAGCTGCAGGAGATCAGTGAGGTATTGTCCTACATCCAGTTACTGAGGGTTCATCTCACACACACACACACACACACGTACACATACACACATGTACACACTCATACAATACTCTCATACACACACTTACATGTGCACTTATTGGGACATCATTTCACATATACTCACACATTCACTCACACATAACCTTTATACACACACACACATGCACTCACACAAACACACATTTATACATAGATTCTCACATCACACACACTCATATACTTTTTCACTCATACACACTCATACACATATAATTCACAAACACATACACAGAGACACACACTCATGCACACACCTTCACACATACTTATACTCAGGAAAGCCCCTTTAACTCTCTTTTAATATATTTGTCTTTCTCTCTAACTCCACCTTGACTTCCTCTACCATGGTAGATGGGAGGCTGTCCAATCCACGGAGTTAAAAACTATTTTAACTCTTCTGTTTCTATGATGCTGCCATTTTTTAAAATGGATATTGTACTCAATATTGTAAAGACTCCTCCTTTAGGTTTTTTTGGGTAAACATCTTGGGAGATGTAGAATTACACTTGTTTGTTCTTTCTCCCTTGCCACAGGGAGCTTAGGTTTATCGGGTTATACCCATCACAGTGCTCCCAAGTCACTCCCATTCCTCTGTATTTATCTGTAAACTCTTCTCTGTGCTCTCCTCCCCAACCGGCTAATCACCTTTTCTCCCTAATCAGATTCTATTAACTTGTAAGATCAGATCCTTCTAAGGACACTGAACTTGTATTGTTAAGTTATGTCTTTTGCACAGTTCACCTTAAAGCAATGTCCTTTCTGTATGGACACAGAAAGACAGTTAATATTATGCTTTGTAACTTGGGAGTTGACTGACTCCAAATAATATTTACTCATGGACATCTGCTTTCTTGACTCAGTTGCCCTTAGTTCCTAGCACCCCAAAAGAGGGTCCCAACGAGGGACTGAATGAACCCAGGGCAAGCAGTGAGCTACTCTGGCATCAAAATGGGCCAGGCCAAAGTGCCATAATACTCAACTATAAGTTGAGGGCATGATCATGGACAAATGCTGTCATGATCCAAAAGTAAAGATGAGACTAGGACCCTGCTGGGGTTAGGAAGACTAACCTGGCCTGAGGACTGATATATATATATATATATATTGAGATATATGTATCTCAGGAAGAACCAAACCGTAAGTTTATATCTCTTACTGTGCTCATACAGAATGACACTGCTAGAAATATTAGAAGATTTACTAGAACTATTTAAGTGAATTACGATCTGAGGAAAGAAGAATGTGACCCGACACACCCTTGTTGGGATCCCACCCTTGAGGGAATCCCCTAGTAATCTGAAGCAATCTCTTTAGATGAGATTTTTATCCTTGAGTTAATTCCTGGAGGAGTGGTCTTAACTTTCTTTGTTGATTTGTTAATGTTCAACCCACCTTTGTGTCACCACCCTATGTGATTGCTATATAAACTAAGACTGTAAGGTCTGAGCGGAGGGGCAGAGTCAGATCCAGAGGTGGGAAGGAGAATGAGGGGGGAGTAAGAAGGAGAAAGAAAGGGGCTCGAGCTCACGAGAGAGAAGGGGAGTGGAGACTGGAATAAACTACAATTGATACCGACCAGCCTGGCCCTCGTTTCCTTCCTTCGCCTGCCCTTTGCCATCGACCTCCCTGGGGTGGGGGAAGCGGCCTGAGACCAACGAACGCAGGCAGCAAGAAAGATAGAGCGCTGCTGGCCTTTTGAGACTGCTGATTAATCAAAATTTCCATGACAATATGTAGCAAGAAGTGGAGACAATTTAATAAATCTTATTTTCCTGAATTCCATACCAGACTTGCCTCCCCCCCCCCCCTTGTCTTTCTGAGTTCCCTGTCTTTCTGAGTTCCAGGGTCATGTCCCTGCTGCAGGGAAACCCCCTTCCTGTTCTGTTTTCCCAGCCAACCCTTCTTCATTACTCTCCACCACGCAGGTAAGGGAGGCTCCAGTTGGAGCCTGCCATGCACAGAATCCAACAGGCTTCCACCTGTTTATGGAGGAACCGCTGAGCATCGGGGAGATATTCTCAGCACTGGGGATTCAGCAGCAAACAAAACCTGGGGAGCCCTGAGGGGTCCCGATTGTACACAGGAACAAACATGGAGGAGAGAACAAACGCAGGCGGTGGGAGAGATAGAGTGCCTCCGGCCTTCTGAAAAACAGATGCTCTGATGGTCAAGGCCAAGAGCACTGGGGCAGGGGCTGCTTGGGATGGGGGCAGAGCAGCTCCCGTAAGGTGCTGGGAGGTCCAAGAGCTCTTGTGGGAGTCCAGCCTGCAGGCTCGGAGGCCAGTACTAGAGGTGTCCTGGGATGATGTGCTAAAACGCCCAACTGAAAGCCAAGAGCTGGCTGACTCCATCTCCAAGACAGAATAAATAAGGAGTTTACTTGCCCTGCCACTTGGAACAAGAGAAAAGCTGAACAGAATACATGAAAAAAGGGCACTCGAGACACTGGACTTGAGAATCTGAGAAAGAACTAACTGGTCAGAGCCTACAAGGACCCAGGCAGACCCTGGGTTGTGCAGTGGGGGTGGGCGTGAGCTGTACCAAAAGAGTACCCACTAAGCCTGCCATCTCCATCTGAGTCTCACCAGGACCAAGAGCTCAGTGTCTCTGAGAGTGTCCCTCAAAAGCAGGGTGGCAAACCTCGGGACCCTTTGGGTCCTCAGGAGGGCTGGGGAGCATCAGGGAGGCAAAGATTGCTGCAGACTGCTGTCTCCCAGTTATGCAATCACACAGCAGCATGAGACTATTTGTAGGCATGTAAAAATACCCAGCACCTCATAAGATCAAATTCAGTCTGCCACCCAATCAAAAGAGTTGTAAACACAACTCATCATGAGAAGAAAAACTAATCAATCGAAATTGATCTGAAAGTGACACAGATAATACAACTGCTAGACAAAAACACTGACATAGTTGATTTTAAGAGAATTTCTTTTACTCTAGAATACAGAGACAAGGCTGACCATGCTAAGTGGAGGTGCAAAAAAATATAAACAAGACAAAAAATAAGCCTGAGTCCTCATGTATGCAATCAACACAATAATAATAATTAATAATAATAATGACAATATACTCCAGATGGAACAGAAGATCAGCCACAGTAGAAGAAAAATTACTGAATTTGAAAACCTAGGAAGAGAAACTATAAAATAAAATTTGGGGAAGAACTGAAAATTAGAGTATCACTGAACTATGGGAGAACTTTAAATG